AGTATCATCGACAACCTCGTATTGATTCTGATGGCGCGAATATTCCCAATCTCAAAGACATGTGAGGACTTTAATCATTTTTTGTGAAAGTTTAGTCCTCATTTCATTTAAAATTCTTCCACTTGCACTAAATGTTTGTTCAGATAAGACGATTGAGATAGGAACAACGAAAACATCTAAGATAAATCTTGATAATACCGAAAAAATACATTTTCTGGTTTTCCAATATTCTAAGACATCAAAGTTGGCTCTTTATTGTGGATCTGCTGGTAACACTTCGGGGGTTCCCAAATATTGTTGAAGCTCATTACTCTGTAACTGCATGGAGGACAGTATATTCGTTGTTGGTGCTTCTGAAGAGAAGGTTGTGCTTCAGGTTCGGGTCCTCTTCGGCCTATTAAGTGCACTCCAGGAGTCGAAGTCTTCATTTGTTTATTCTGATGTAACTTCCTTGGGTATTTCGCCTCTTTGCTGGTTCCTACACATGTTTTCATATTGCAAATATACCTCTGCAAGACACTCTCTTACCTCTCCTAATTGATTGGCATATGCTTCGTTTTGTAAATTTTCAGTTAATGTGTCTAAACCATTTTCTAAACCTGCTACTTTAATTCTAGGATCAAATATAGCACCTAAACAATAAAGAAAAGGAATGGGTTTCCAATATTTAAAAAAAAAAAAAAAATTCCATTGACTTTATTGGTCCCCCTAAAATTTCATTATTTCTGTTTTTTCTAAATAAATCTGAAATTTTTATAATTGTATGTATTTCCAACAGACTAATAGGATAACACACACCAGAAAGTTGTAAAGTGGATTGGTAAGAAATTTTAAGAAAAGAATTAATTTTTTTAGCTATATGTCAATCATTTTCTACCAAATAATGAGGACCTCTATTATTTGCTATAAAATAACTAATTAAATTTGCATAAGGTAAACATGAATCAAACATTAAATAATTACCATTCCATCTAACAGGCATGTCTAATGCAAAAGTTCTAGGAGACATATTTAATTTTATACAAGCATCTTGAAATTGAGTATTTCTTTTATTACTACCAATAATTCAAGCTAAAGAATCTCTAATTCTATCAATATTATCTGTAATTATTTTCATACTAGTTTTCACAATTAAATTAATAATGTGACAAGCACAGTTTTGGTGAAAAAACTTCAAATTGTCATAAAAAGGATAATTATTTTTAAAAAAATCTATAGTTGTACTATTATAACTTGTATTATCTATAGTTAAACTTATCACTTTATTAATAACATCATAATCTTCTAAAACTTCAACAATTTTATTATAATTTTGTTGACCACTATGATCCACATCCATTAATCTAAATCCTAATAAAGATTTATTTAATTTACATTCGTTATCAAAATAATGACTAGTCACACAAATATAATCTTGTTTAGCTCTACCACTCCAAATAACAGCAGTTAGAGCCACACTAACATGACAACTATGTGTTTTATTTTTTAATTTTAATTTCATTTTTGCAAATAATTTTATTAAATCATTTCTAGTTGTAGTTTTAGAATAACTTTTAAATCTTGGAAAAAATGATTTTTTAATAAATCTTTCAAAATATTTATCTTCAGTCATATTAATAGGTTGATCAGTTGCAGTAATATATAAAGCTAATTGTTCCCTATATACATCAGAATTATAACGTCAAGTATTACCCATATTAGTTATTTGAGCTTGATTGGTTTCTCTATTTCCATGTTAAGTAATATGTTTATTAGCATGCCTTTTTAAAGTACTAGTACCATTACCTGAATCAGCTTTATAAATATTTCCACAATACTTGCATCTTGCTTTCTTCAATTGAACTCCATTTTGTGTCTCGTAAAACTTATCGAAATGCACCCAAACGTCTGATGTGTGCCTGTCGTTGGTTTCGACAGCAGTTGATGAACCCGCTTCTACTTGAGATGAAGTTGGACGAGGACGACGATTACTAGGACGACTTCTAAAACCACCTGGAACTGTAGCAGCATGTGGAGGAATCAGGGGAATATTTTTAGGTGTATTGGATTCTGAGACTGGGAAAGCGAAACTATTTGAATCTATTGCATTTTTTGTTAGTAAATTCAGGGGGACTAGGATATAGTTTCCTTCATCATCAAAATTGATGGGATTAAAATATCTACCCATTGTAGTTAAAAAAAAAAATTTGATATAGAAGAAATAAAAAATTAAAGAAGGAGAATTTGAATTTTGAAATATGAATTGAAAATTGCAAAAACTAATAAAAATTAAAATGAGAGCAAATTGACAACAAAGAGAACAATTGAGAGATTTCAATAGAGATTACAGAAAATGAGAGAATGAGAGAATTTGTGATGTGAGAAAATATGAAAGTTTAGGGCCTATTTATAGAAAAAAAATGGGAAAAGAAAATAATGAAAAAGACCCCTTCAATTGCTATAAAACGGCTATATTTCAAGGGTAAAAGAGGTATTTGCAAAAAAAAAATTATTATTATTATTTTTTAATTTTTTTGGGCCAACCTAATGGGTTTCTTTGTTTAAAAAAAAAAGTTACCCACTGGGTCGCCATATAAAAGCCCGACCCGCCCGACGAGGTGCATGTGGGTCAGGTTCAACCTGGCCTGCCTCATAGGTGGTTCGGGTTGAACCCTCCTTAATACGGGCTAGGTTAGGGTTGACCCGCCTAACCCGACCCATTTGTTCAAACTCTAGATAAACTATAAATTGTATGAGACTTAGAGTCCTATTATGGAAGAATACAGGCTAATGGGCTGAAGCCAGGTTTAGCTTAACCTATAGAAAGACCCAACTAGTGGAGTGGCCCAAAGTGTAGGTTAGCCCAATTCATTGGGTGGCCTTAATCGAAGAGTGATCCAACTCGTAAAGTAACCCAATTCGTGGAGTGGGTTGACTCGTGGTGTAAACCAGCTCGTAGAATGGGTTGGCCCATAGAGCGGTGCTTCTCATGAAATGGACCATTTTGCTGGATAATCTTTTCACAAGATGGGTTCAAGCGTGAGTCGGAGTTGAGCTATTACACTTGGCTGTGTGAAGTGATTATTTTGTTATCGGGCCTAACAAGGCCTAGAATGATTTTTTGCTCATACAATAATAAGAGTTAATATTCTTACATTCAAAGACTTCATAAGAATTTATGAAAGCGCGCCTTTTTCTATTGGTAAAAGACAAAATTCTATTAGTTTTTATGAATTTTCATTAAGCTTTAATCTTAAAAGAGGAAAAACAGACAATTAGAGAAATCCATAGCATGTTGAAAAGAACAGTATTACTGTAAATTATTTTTTAATATTATTCATGCTATTGTGTGGTGATTACTGTTGAATTAAAATTATAGATTAAGATATATCATTCAAGGTTTTAATTAATTATAAGAAATGTTTGATTTAGTAAGGAATCATCCATGAATTAGTAAACAATAAACTTTATATTTAACATAAGAGGCATGAAACTAACCTCATAGACAAAGGCATGAAAATGATTTTTGTAAATAAAGTATATCATATAATTAAAATTATTGCTTAATAAAAATCTAAAAATTATAATATTAATAAGTTGTTTATTAAAAGATTAAAGAATATTATGAAGAGTCAACATGCATGATACACACCCCATAATTGAAAGAGATTTTTTTTTTTTTTTTTCTAACACTTTAAATAAAATTAAAAAAAAAAAAAAAATAAAAACAAAATTTTTGAGTAGAATAATCCTTTTTGTTTTTTATGCCTATAAGGAGTATATAACAGACAAAAAACAAATGATAAAATAGTTATTTTACATAAATTTTGTGTAATTTTTATATGTTGTATGGCTTAGAAAAACATTATTGTTAACCAAAGGGTAATACATTTTGGTACCTAAAGTTTGTCCTAATGTTGTCTAGTAGATACTAAAAATACTATTTAGATCCTTATCAATAAACTGCCCTTTAAAAATTTTTAGTAAAAGTTTTGAAAGTCTAAAAACCCCAATATTCTTACATAAACGACAACAAAAATTAACAAACTAAAAAAAAAAAAAAAGACTGTTAACCGAGAATTCAGTTAAAAATTTAGAACAATTCTATTAATAATTAGAAAATAAATACTGACAAAAAATTTCTATATTTTTAATAGAATTGTTTGTTAACAACCATTTTTCTTTTTTAAATTTCTGTTAATAGAATGACATTAACATAAAACAAGATTAAGGGTATTATAGAATTTTCAAAACTTCTACCAAAATTTTTTTAACCGGTCGTCAACTAACGTCTAACAAATACTCAAATGTCACCTTCAATTCTGTTGGATCTAACGGTAATTAACCAAATCCCAAGGACTAAAATGTACTTAACTCTTCACGATTCACTTCATGAGCCGGGCGGCCGGCCCGGTCTAGATTTCTTTGCCACTGTCACCAATCAAGTCACATGAATAAAAGGAGGATCGATTTACACATATCCAAAGTTTGTTGTATAGGCAAGCTGGTATCCAAAAGGTTTAGAAATGACAAACACGCACTTTCCGTCATATATTGCTAGGAATTTTTATCTGCTAAAAGACAAAGTTAATGAAAAGACTAGAATACCCATCGATCTCCATTCTTAACGCGTGCCAGCAAGGGTCATTGCCACTGTTTATCACCGAACTTTACAGAAAAATGCTAAATCCAGTCAAAAAATCGATCGATGACACAAGAGGACTGTGCAAACGGACTTGGGATGAGAATGGATACGGAGAAAAAGATTTAAAATTTAAAAATTTTATGATTGTAGATGAAATTACTATATTATCTTTTAGCAGACAGAAATCCCTAATAGAATATAACAGAAAGTATTTGTTTGTCATTTTTAAACCTTTTGGGTATCAATGTCTTTATGCCAAACTTTGGGTAGGTGGCGGTTGTTCGGCCTGAGTAAAACAAACAAATTCGCCATTAAACATTGATTCGAAGACGATTACTCAGAAAACTACCAACAAAAGTTAGGTATAAATGTATAATCCAACAAGAAGAAACTAAAATCATAGACTGATAGCTGAGGAAAAACTTCATTTGTTACTTGTACCATCCCATCAAACCATCTCTTTCTTTTCTTCAATCTCTCTCCCTATCTTGTTATTCATTTCTTCCCCCAACAGTTCACGTTTCCTTTGTTTATTCGACTCACCACTAACCAGTTAGTATAAAAACGCAATACCCATTTTGCCAATTCAGTTTTTGAGAGAGAAGAGAGCACCCCACTTCTTCAAAAGGATTGGAAATGGACTCCCAGGTTCTGGTTGCGCTTGGTTTGTCTCTTGTGGGTGGATTGAGTACTTCTATAGGTCAGTTCTTTTTGTTTTATTGAACTTAATGCTTAATTATTTTTGTGTTTTTGCTTATGGGTTTTGTTTAAAGTTTGTGTGTTTATGAAAATTGGTTGTTTCAATTGGTTGTTATCGTGATTTCCTAGCATTTTACTGTGATGGGTGGTTTTGAGGTGTGATTAAGGAACATGTTAAGGTACGAAAATACCAAATTTATATATTTTGGAATAAATTGTGAAGGTATATTTTGTTGTTATTTGGTAGTGAAGCTTTCTTATTGAGTTGAGTACCAATGGTTACAATGTGATTAATGAATGGTTATGTTTCAATGGCAATTGCTAAGCTAACCCCCTTTCCGAGTTTTTTGATCACGGTCCCTGTAGTCCAATAAGAGCCGTAACGTTACCCTACAGTATAGTATGGTGGTGAGTCTTTATTTCAATTACATGGCAATCTCCACTTGGCCTTAAGTTTTATCTGTGGTCTGTTTCAGTTGATATCAAATGAGAAAGAGACATAATAAGCGTTGGATGAGTTTGAAGTTAACTGATAAAACAACTAAAAAGTTCACTTGATTATAATAATTTACGGGTATGACAAGATAACAGATAGCTGGTTCAATAGTGAACAAAGTTTCTGTTCTATTTCCTTCTTTTGTGATGGTGATTAATGAGTCAATGATCTATGATATGATATTATTTTATCCAGATCAATAGAAATTAAATATGGCATAAATGAGTCAGGTATAATGAAGGTTTCTACCTGTCATTTTATGTCGATGTTTAAAATTTTAAAGTCATGTGATTATTAGGATTTTTTTACTTTATGTCTTAAGGGACTTCAACATGGAAGTTTCAAATTAGAGAATTATTCTCTTTCAACAGGGAAGTTTGAAATCTAAGAATTATTTTCTTACAAAATATGTTTACTACCTATTTATTTGTTGATGAAGTGATGCAAATAAGGTATTGTTGCTAATCTGATTATAAATGCTTGATGGTGTTGCAGGTGCGCTCTTTGTAATTCTTAATGAAGCTCCCAATTTGAAGATGCTTGGGCTATTACAGGTGATGTACTGAGGTTACACACTCCATTGCTGTTGTAGATTGCTGACATTTTTTTGTTTTCTAGAATTATATTTATGTGTGACATGAGTAGTAGTGATCCATTTTATAAAAGGACGCTTACTGGGACATGTGATGGAGCTCTTCTTATTCGAACATCAATTATTCTTGGTCTTCTCTCTCTAATTGTTATATCTTATCCGAATATCCACTAATTTAAATATTTTTTACCTTCATATTTAACTAATGAAGAAAGCTGGGCCTTTGGTCAAAGATCAATTTGCATTCATTCAAATATTTTCTTGAGCACATATCGTTTTTTTTTTCTTATTTTTTTTGGCCCCGGAAACCTTTTCTAAACCTCTAGATGTCTCACATGCAGGGTTTTGCTGCAGGACTCATGCTGAGCATATCATTTCTAGATTTGGCTCATAATGCCATAAACTCAATTGGCTTTTTAAAAGGCAACCTTTGGGTTAGTTATACCTTTCTGTATTCATCAATTTGAATGTTTTTACTTTAATTACACTGGCTTGTTCACATTGCTCTAATAATTCAATTATGGTTTCCTGGCAATGTAGTTTTTTGCTGGTGTCATATTCTTTGCTGTTGTTGCCAATTTCATCCCAGAACCATCACTCGCTCCGGGATCAGATCTGAAAAGTAACAAGGTTATGAAGTTCTATTCTCCTGATTAATTATTAATTGTGCATGCTTGCTGATACAATTGACATTGGATGCTTCTATATTCTGCTGATATATTTACTGGTATATTGACAGTTTGACATTGTGCTTGAGAACAGAAATCTGGGGACGACGGGGGCAAGGACATTATGAAAAAGCATCGCCGCCAAGTTCTCTTTAGTGGGATCATTACTGCTATTGGTATGACTACATTGTCAATATATTTGAAACTTCCTAGGCTGAGATTTTATCATTCCAAATTGTTTTTGCACATTCCATGGAATTGGAAATTATGGTTTGGTAATTGACTGCATATTTGATTTATTTAGCTTCAAATATAAGGGCACACACTTCTTTATCAAATGTAGGATACAGGCTTTATAATTTAAATTGGATGGTACTTAGGGTCTTATCCCAGAATAATTATTGTGAAAATAGAAGAACAATTGTTCTCACTCATGGATGTCCACACTTGTTAAAGTGTACATCCAACTTTCTGAGAAGCTATGGGCTAAAAGTAAAGAATTAGTAAACTCCTATCAATAAACTCCTATCAATTCTCTCCTTTTATAGAGAGTTAAAGTCAGAATTCAAAAAAGGGACAGATTCTCTCATTTGAGTATTCCTACATACATATGTAACGCATCAAAAAAAATTACAGAAATTCTTATCAACAAGTGGATATGGAATAGTATCTCCTTTTTTCTGATACTTATTGCATTTTCCTGGGTGTATGGAGTTACTTATATTGGTTTAATTGGTGAAGGTCTTCTTTATGATTTGTAGGCATAAGCTTGCACAATTTTCCAGAGGGAATGGCTGTATTTCTTGGATCAATGAAGGTACCTATTATTGTTTATATATTTTTATGGAAATATTTAGTTAATTTTCTAGAGAATAAATCCAATATGTATATTCATATTAATGGAAGGGTGGTCTCTGTTGTGGTGTTTAAGATAGCATGAAGCTGATTATTTTTTATTCATAACAAAAACAAATTATTCTTTTAAATGAATGGCCTTGTTTTGGCAGGACCAACTCTAAGATTCAGTGGACCAGCAGTCCACTTTTCACAGGATGATTATTTATCAAGTTTATATATTTTTATGGAAATATTTAGTTAATTTTCTAGAGAATAAATCCAATATATATATTCATATTAATGGAAGGGTGGTCTCTGTTGTGGTGTTTAAGATAGCATGAAGCTGATTATTTTTTATTCATAACAAAAACAAATTATTCTTTTAAATGAATGGCCTTGTTTTGGCAGGACCAACTCTAAGATTCAGTGGACCAGCAGTCCACTTTTCACAGGATGATTATTTATCAAGTTTATATATTTTTATGGAAATATTTAGTTAATTTTCTAGAGAATAAATCCAATATATATATTCATATTAATGGAAGGGTGGTCTCTGTTGTGGTGTTTAAGATAGCATGAAGCTGATTATTTTTTATTCATAACAAAAACAAATTATTCTTTTAAATGAATGGCCTTGTTTTGGCAGGACCAACTCTAAGATTCAGTGGACCAGCAGTCCACTTTTCACAGGATGATTATTTATCAAGTTTATATATTTTTATGGAAATATTTAGTTAATTTTCTAGAGAATAAATCCAATATATATATTCATATTAATGGAAGGGTGGTCTCTGTTGTGGTGTTTAAGATAGCATGAAGCTTATTATTTTTATTGATAACAAAAGCAAATTATTCTTTTAAATGATTGGCCTTGTTTTGGCAGGACAAACTCTAAGATTCAGTGGACCAGCAGTCTACTTTTCACAGGATGATTATTCATCAAGTTTAAGGTTAATATATATATATAAACTAAGCAAGAAACAAAAAAGAATTTTTTTTTAAGATAAAAATTTTATATCATAAAAGAAAAATTTATGGCACTGATCAATGCCACTGGCTGGGCCTCTGGCATTGATCACCAATGACCACCACATGATGCCAATGGTTGGCAACTATGAGACCAAAAGTGGTGGCACCAAATCAGAATGGCTTCCACAATTCCTTATTTGGAATCATTATATCTGGTTAACCAAATCCGGTCTTAGTTTCTGGTAGTTGGTAGAATACTTGTTTTGTTGTTGAGACACAGCCCTTTGTCCCTTTGTACTTAAGCATGAAGTCTTTATATTAAAAATTCGTTTTCAATTGAGTTTTATTTCATTGCATGATGATATTATCTGTTTTACATGCAAATTGAGCTCCTAATTTGTTTTAGAGGTCAATGAATTGTTGATAAATTCTTACTTGAATATGCGTTTAATGATATGGGATTGGTGATTTAGATAATCACTGGTGCTTATGCATGTCTGCTTTTCTATTGTAAGTTAAGCTGCTCAATTTTTATTTCTTCATGTTTCTCTGGTAGGGTCTCCGCGTTGGTCTAAATTTGGCCTTGGCCATTGCTCTGCACAACATCCCTGAGGTATATATTCACAGATCTTGTAATACAATTACTTTATCACTTGTGCCATGGATTTTTTTTATATTTTCACTGTTTGCAGAATATTCCAGAAGTATATATTCTCAGTTCATGTTAAAAAGCTATGTAGCATACTATTGCATGGAAAATAACTCCATTGAGAAGAAGAGTGCATCACAATATTGGCTATAGGGAAGCCTTGGCTTGAAGACAACCTGTAAGAGATTGCAAAAAACTCTCCCCATTCCGAATGTCTTCCCAAAATCTGATTTCTTTCCTCCACCCACAGCTAACTTTGTATCAGACCAGAACAAGCCAAACCCTTCAGAGATGAAACTCAATCAGACATCTACCTGCCATCACTGAGCGAAAATTGGAGTCCCATCCATTATCATGAAGACCATTCTTGTAAAAATAACAACATGCCCAAGGGATTTTCCATAGGAAATCTCCACAACCTCTTGCAAAAAAGTGCCTAATTCTTCTTAACTTTGTTTCCAACTCCCAGGTTTAAGAGTGTTGTTACCCATAAAACTTTTTAAAAGTTATATGTGGATGAGAGAACAAAGCCATTGCGCATGAAAATCGGCACTTGTCTCTGTCAACTATGATATTCCATGCTTAAAATTGCAGACTATCTTTTGTTGGAGAAATTAAATGAAGCAATTTTCTTATGTTGCGACTTTTTCATATTGTCTTTGACAGGGTGTTGCTGTTGCTCTTCCAATTTATTTTGCAACTCAGAGGTGAGAATCTTCTGGGGCATCATCTATGCGACTCATTTCTAGAGTGGGTTTTTTGCAACTCGGATGTAACCGTAGTATTCAAAGGTTTACCCAAATTAAAAAAAAAAACTTGATTTGGGCCCATGTTGAATTGCTTTGCTGGTTCTGACATAATCAGCATCCATACATTGGATGCTAACCTGGAAAACAGTATTTCAGTGTTGTTTTTTCAAAAGTTTTGTGTCTCAACTACTTCGTCCATTTATTTTGTTCAGTGTTGTAGACACTCTGAAATTATATAAAAAAAGTGAGTTTATTTACAAGGTTAGTCATTAGCTGTTCAATTCATTTCATGTCTCAGCAAGTGGCAGGCATTCAAATTGGCAACACTTTCGGGTTTTGCTGAGCCTCTTGGGGTTGTAATTGTAGGTATGTTAACTATGTTTTTCTTCGCTGTATATATATATGTGTGTGTGTGTGTGCGCGTGCCAAATACAATTCAGCTAGGGAATTTCAAGTCAACATTATCGATTGTGTTATATTTTGTGTGCTTTGCCTGAGGACATGCCTTTAAAAAATATCTTCTGTATCTAAGTAGTGTTTAAATTTTAATGCCTTTTTGCTAAAATTAATTTATCATTTATAATGCTTGTAAACTTATCTAGGCTACTTATAATGAATGCCTTTGCCTTTGTTCTGCAGCCTACCTATTCCCAAGCAGCTTGAGTCCTGAAATTCTTGAGGGCTTGCTAGGATCAGGTTTGCTTTAATATCAATTTTGTGGCATCTCGGGTGAATAGTGAATTATTGTGTCATGTTACGACTTCCCTTCACTTGTTTATTTATGTTCTCAGTTGGTGGAGTAATGGCTTTTCTAACCTTGCATGAGATGCTGCCTTTGGCATTTGATTATGCGGGCCAGAAGCAAGCTGTCAAAGCAGTGTTCTTTGGGATGGCTTTCATGTCTGCAAGGTAAGTAAATCCATGGAAACTCTGAGTTTGCGAGATTTCAATGATATATAATTTTCATCAAGATCCTAATGCATTTTTGGTTGCAAATCTAAAAGTTCCTTCAAAAAAAAAAAAAAATTATTGAATAGGATCAGTTTGCTTATTTTTCTCAGTGCAGCTACATTCTTCTTGTATGACTCCTTTCTGCTTTTGCAGCTTATATTTTCTTGAAATCAGCCTACCCAAAGATATGAGCTTGTAGCTGTTACACATGATGATGTTGTACAATCCTGAGCCTCGGCGGTTGGTCCTCAGAAATTCCCTGCTTTTCTTACTGGCATCTAGGCCCTGTATTAATGTTCAGCTTTATTAGAATGATACACTGATCTTTAGCAAATTGGCCGAGGCACAGCTTTCTTAGAAGAATGTTGGTTCTTATGCATTACTGTGCTTCTTTGAAATGTAACTTAAATATGGAAAAAATACAAGAACCACATATTTTCAATAAACTTCTTGTCATTCTCAGTTGAACTTCTTGTCAATGATCTTTCTGTGCTTTTTCAAAATTACACAAATCACCTATTTGTTCAAGATACAGAAAAATGTCCAATATGTTACATTCGGTTGTGCAATTAGATTCCAGGTTTTGCAGAAAACCCGACAACTCACTTGATCGAAGCCTGGGAAGTTCTGCAACTGCAATTTTTTTTTTGCAGGTATTTAGCACGCTAAAAATTCACTTCTCAGAAATAATATGGTTTTGCAGCACATTGTTTTGAATGGATTGAACTTAATGTATATCTAAATGTTCACATCTCACATGTTCAACATGGCACTCTTTAAGAGCCACTTTTTTCTTTTGCTCAGGTCAGGACATCCTCAAAAATTTTAATGATATGGTTTGTCAATGCACATGAGTGCTCACTTTGTAACCTTTGACTTCAATTCACTTTTGTTTGGAGCGTTTTCAACCTTTTTCCACCCTAATATGGGTCCAGGAGTTCCACCTTTTTTATGAACTAATATCGTATGTAATACTTATTTTTTCGTTTGCTATAAATACTTTTATACTGACCAATTTGTAAAATTAAACGATAAACTTATAATTAGAACCCCGTTATGTATTTGTAACATTGTTACATTTGTTAATCTTAAGATTTTGTGGAAAGACAAAATGGAACCATTCTTTATGGGACACTGCTACAATATATAGCTAGTTTTCATTTCATGACACTTTTGGGTTGTTTTAAATTTTGTTCTTTCGATCTTTAAGAGAAAGATACATAATCCTGTGAATGTACCATTTGATTGTCTACCTCTAGGGCTTTTCATGTAAATGTTGTATAAGTAATGTACTACATTTATATATTAATGTTGTAAGGACAAGGGAAGGTAGAATAGTGAATGAAAAAGACATTAGAAAGAGGGAAAATAATGAGAAACAAAAGGAAACCCTAGCGACAAATTTTAAAGTGCTAGGTCATGGTCTTGTACAAAATGACTTTTGTCCAGGCCTTGCTTTATGACTCACAGTGCAACATGTAAAAAAATTTTAACCTTTTAAAATTCTATACAGTAACCATGTATTGAGTAAGAAAAACTCTTTTTTTTTTTCCTAGTGAATATATAATTATAAACAGTAATTCTCTATTAAGAACATTTTCATATTAACTTTATAAGGACCATGCATTCATGCATAGACTTATAAAGAGGAATTTGAGGATTTATTAATGCCGAAACAATAAAGAGATGACTAAACCCAAAGACAACAAGTGATACAAAAAACCACCACTTAATTATATCAAGATTCGGATACTTAATTATTTGAAAACCCTCAGATTTCTCAATGCTTCATTAGCATATAATAATAATTAAAAAACCCATTGTTCTTAGGGTTGAACAACCTTTAAATAGTTCTCTTTTGAAATCTTAAACAGAAAAAACAAAGGAAAATAAAATTAAATAATTATCGTAAAATAATACCAAAACATCTACAAACTCCTTAAAACAACCCCGAAAGGGTAAAAAATGAAGACTCTCACAATAATGAGTTTTGTTCGTTTGGCCGTTTTAGAGTGTTCCGTCAAAAATCATCGGACATTGTCGACACTATTCAACCCGTGGGGCCCTACATCATTTATATTATTAATTAGCCTATGGTTTTGGCAGTTCATTGCAAGGACTAAGCTTTTGTCAATTATCAATCACGGGGGTCCATTTTTTTTATAACAACAATTTTAAAAAGAAAAAATAAAAGAAGTGTCAATCTTATAAAATTTTGTTTTGATTTGCTCTACTTTCCCAAAATTGAGAACATCATGATGAACATAATTTTATGGGAAATATTGCAAACCTTTAACAAGTCATAGGAAGCAAAAAATCTGATGGAGAGATTCATGGGATTAAAGATGTCTCGTCCTATCTTTCCCTGATAATAGAAAAAGTGAGCTTTTGATTGGATTTGTCAAAGTTTAATTGAGAGAAAGGGTAAGGGTAGAGGAGGATAAAGAGAACAACTATACTTAAAGCAAAAAAGGAGAAAAGTGTTTAATCAATCAAAGAAGAAAGAAGAAGAAAAAAAAAAAAAAATAATAATTAATGCTTTATTGGGAAGAGGAAACAATTTGTTTCGTAATGGATTTGATTGAACTCAAACCAACTCAATAAAACATAGGCATAATTTGTAATTTCTAAATTGAAAGATTGAACGTGTATCTCTATTTTAATCTATTTATTTGTGTGGTTAATTTCATATTTATTTTTTCACTATTTGTGTATTTTCAAGTTTTCTTATAAATTAACAAGATGAAAAAGCATTGAAAACTTTTTTGTCCATAATAAATTTAAAATAATATTGACATGTAAATGAAATGATTTAGTAAATAATATGACAATGTCAATTAGAATAACGTATCAATTGAGACGATAATTCTGAAAAATCTTTTAAGGATTTATAACATTACTCCTAAACCTAACGGGATAGGGTTTATCTATAAATTACTTTGCATATCAATAAACAAAAATCACAAATCAATTCAAATTGTCTCCCTTGATAAGTTTAGACTAAGAGGAAGAATCCCCAACTATTGGTAGGGCATACTCCGAAACAGCCAAACAAGTTAGGTTCATTGTGAAATGAGCTTTGTCATTTTTTAGCCTTTCAGAATTGGTTTTTGGATTTTAGGGCTGTTTTTGTCAGTTTCTAGACTTTTTATAATTTTTCGAAAGTTGTTTAATTTTCTTTTTTCTTTGATTTTTCAAATTAGGTGTTTTTTTAGGGAAAAGTTTTTAAGGTTGATTCAGCCGTAACAGGGGCAATTTTTTTTTGTTATTATATTGAATGAAATATTAAGAACCTTGTGGAGTTTTTTTATCCAATCAAATATCCGAATCTTGATACAATTCAATGGTCGTTTATCGTATACTTGTTTCCTACATTCAGTCATCTCTTGATTATTTTGACATATATATATTCTTAATTACATGATGCCATTATTCTCTCCGTATCAAAATAATTAAATAAAAAAAAAATAAAAGAACATTGTTTTGGTAAAGTAACTTTAGGAGGCCTCAATTTCCACATTGTCGTTAAAACAAAATATATCACCATCATAACCGACACAAACCCCACAATTTGATATTGGATTTGTATAGGATTAGGAGGTCCCTAAAATGTGTTTTCATATGAGATTTAATTAGCGACTTTATTTGCTATGTTGTAGAGATGCCGTGTATAACAGGCACAATATTCTTAATTGCAATATCTTTGTGAATTCTATAGCCTCTAATGTTAATTAGATTTAAAAAATTTCATATATTCGCATAATATGATGTTCAAAAGTTTCTTATGTACGGGCTAACATTAATTACATTTTAGTTTAATAAAACTGGATAAATGCATGGTCCTATGAGATACTTTTACCGGGTTTAATGTGACTATAAAATACAGCTCAACACACTTAATTATTGAATAAATAACTTGGGTTGATGGTAAAAGTGTGGATTTTTGGGTTTATTGGACCGGTAATGGGAGGAACTAATAAAACATTATATATTGTTTAGATCCCGTCTCCGAAACTAATTAACATATAGTTTACCTATTTGAAAGTCATCACAGAAAACAGTTTATGGAGAGGAAGACCATTTAAGCATTCAACAAATCTTACACACATCATGACTTAGACAAGTATTCCTAAAACCCTAAATCTGTTGATTCAGTTTTCTATTATCTATGCGTAATCCTCTAATCATTTGGATGTTGAATTTCCACGTTTTTTTAACATATTAAACCCTTATTTAATAGTTTAAATTCTTTCTACAAACAATTACTTAACATGATATCAAAAAAATAGTCTTAATGTTCCGTCATAAAATAATAAAATTAATCAAACCCAAATCCACATAAGTTGATTCATAAACAAAAAAAATGGTATGTACATGGTATTTTTTTTTTTTTACCTTTTTGCTAATAAAATAAATTGATAATTAATTTAAATATTAAAAACACCTTTAATTACATGTAGTTATCATTGCATTGCATTGAAAATCTAGCTTTATCCTTTGAACCATCTCAACTTCTTATATATTAGGTTACTGTTATAATAAAACTGCTTTTTTTTTTTTAACCTTTTTGATAATAAAAAAAATTGAAATTAATTCCAATATAAAAACAACCTTTATACATAGTCATCATTGCATTGAAATCCTTAACCTTTGAACCATCTCAATCAAATAATTAAGACTCCCTCTATTATTTATAGTTGGTATGGATAATATATATATATATGTATAATGGTTAAAACCAGTATTGTTGATAAGATTACAACCCCATTACTGTGTAGAAGAAAGAAGAAGCATACAAGGATCCATCTGGTGTGGTACGACTGGTAATAAGTTGACAGGTGAAAGGTCATAAGTAAGAATCAAATATGATGGTGATAAATTGCTGTGACACTTCAATGTAAAAAGAATATATAATATAATAATAATTATTGAGTTCATCACCTCACCACTGTGTTCTACTGTTACGTTAAATCTTAACGTACAGAGAGAAACACCAATAACTATCAAAGACTGAAGTCTGAAAAGAGAAAAAAGAGAGAGACTCACTGAAGCAACCTAATTAACTGTTCATACTCTGAATGTAAATGCAGCTTGAAATGACATTTCAATAGCCGGCCTTTTGACTCTTTTTCTCTTTCTCGATCTCTCAAGTAAAGCTGCCACCAAGATCCATTCCTTTCTAATCTTTTGTATGGTGTAACAGTAGATATACAAAATAAAAGAATATACTATTAATTGTTATATATATATGTATGTATTTCTCTCATCCATCACTTCATTGATCTCTGATCCCTTTCTAATTCTCTCGTGCTAATCATTTGATTTTATTATTTTTATTTATAAAACATAGTATATGTTCTGTTCTGTCCATCAGTGAAAACTCTTGCTCTCAAGAAAGAGGAATGGCATCTATGCACACAAACAAAAAGCTGATGCATTTATTTAAGCTTTCTCTCAAAATCATTCATATATGCTTTCTTTCCTTATATTCTATTACTACTACCTTGACACCTTTTAGTGTCCATTTGTTATAACTGGTTTAGAGCTTGCAAAAGGGTGGTATTTTATGACAAGATTTTGACAACACTCACATCGATCCATCACAACTACTTATTTATATGGCCAGGCCATGCATTTATTAATTCATTTGTATATATATATACTCTCCCATACAAAAGCATAACTCAATACTTCTCTTCTATATCGTTAGAAGAACAAAAACTCCTTACCAATATTTACCTCTTTCATGTTACTTTTCTTCAGTTGAAAGTATAATATCAGAAGGATCTCTCATCTCAGATCACCTTTTGCATCGAAAAGTCTTGGGTTTAATTTATCATCAAGTGCATAATATCTAAATCAATTAAAATGTATTTACTTTAATCATGACCAACATGCACAATCATAGTTTTCTTAATAGGAACATGAAATCTATAACTCCCTTCTCTTGTAATACAAACTTTAATTTACATATCTAGCGACATGCAATTAATCATGTAATAATACAATAATGTGTATAGTTTTTAAGTATTTTTCATGTGCATGTCCATGGTTTAACATTGATGTTTATGCATAAAACAAAGAGAGAGACATTTAATGGACATAGTTAAAACTACATGAAATTGAGTTTAACATTGATACATCCAGAAGAGTCCACAATACTCAGAAACATCTAACGAACAAAAGGAAGAAAATTACCAAAAAAAAAAAAAAAAGAGAAAATGGCTCTCAAAGGATTAATTTCTTATAATTTTAACTCTTAAAGCCATGACAAAACAAAACAAAAGTGTCAGCAGAAATGATGATGAGATATTTCATTCACGACAATCTTCCTCTGAAGATCCCATTCAATCAATCAATGTCACGGGAGGATTCATTATCTTGCTCAATTTCAGAGGCACCTTCGTCTTCTTCAAAACAGTCAATCCCACAAGACGCATGGCCATGTCCAAAAGCCTTAATGTGATCTTTCAAAGACCTCTTGTGCTTAAAATCAGACCCACAACTGCAATACCAAAGCTTTCCACAATTCTTCTCATGGGTTCTCCAGTCACCCCTCACCGCGAACGCCTTGCCGCATTTCCTACACATAAAAGGCTTAATCCCATGCTTCCTCTTGTAATGCGTTTGAAGAGTTCGAAAATCCTTCAATGGTTTTGACCTGGGATGATCGATGTTGTTCCTGCAACCAGGAGCACAACAATAACAAGGGAGCCTGAGCATAGCGGTTGGCTGTGTCCCCCTTAGAGACTCCGGGCCTTTTCTGTATTGAGATCCATGCCCCCACATATGCATCTACACATTTTTTTATATATTTTTGAGCAATTAATATAGGCAGCCATTAATAAAGGAGAGAAATAAAAAGAAAATAATGTAAAGTACTAATCTTCAGGAAAATAAATAAAAAGGAAGCAAATTAATTTAGGGCAGGATTTTTCTACGTGTTGTTAACATCTTGACACTGTAGAAAAACAGTTCTTGAGACATAGCAAAAGGAATAAAAATTAACTTAATGAACTTGCAGTACGGCAATGGATATGTGAAGAAGTGGCAGAAACAAACAGTATCTACTACTTTTTTGAAGTTAATTTGGGGTGAGTGCATGAATGTACTATATTGCATCAGTAAAAACTCAAATTTACTCTTTCTCTGATCAAATTGTAAGATGGTGCTTGCCCTATGAAACAACACAAATCCAAAAGGTTCTTCTTGTTGCATCACTATAGATATTTTCTGTCGCTATTATGATCTATTCCGATACATTTTCTGCGTCGCAATAGGCCATTTTTCCTGTGGTATTGTATTGTTGAGAGTTGAAATTAGGGCCTTTGATGGACGAAGATGATCGGAAGAAGGATAGATATGAAAGCTCTGGGAGATTTTTCAGTTTTGACACGGCTGCCAATACACCGAACACAAACTTCAAGGAATGCAAAAACATAATGGCTGTGTGTGTAGTTCAATCACATAAAGAGAGGCACTGATATTGTTCACAGATGGACCAGGTAAATAAGAATTTTATTTTCCAAATCCCAAGACCCCAAATCATGCAAAAGAAAAGTGGTAGTCCGTTCGAATATGAAATTGTAAGAATTTTAAAGTGAAAAAAGAGAAAGATATATGGCATTAAAGTCCAATAAAGAAAAAGGGAAAACCCTAATAAGGAGAGAGTAAGGACCCATCTCCCATTCCATTTGTGATTTGTTCCTATCAATATCATCAGTTGAATAAAAAGTGAAAGCTTGAAATGAAGCTAGAAAAGAAGTGTACAAATAAATGATACAAGGGAATGAGATTTCTCTTTTTCTGCAAAATCAAAAAATAAAAAAGGAAGCTTTTTAGATGAATATTAAGTTTCAAATCATATTCATACCTGCATGTTATTGTATCTGTTGAAGGTTTTGAAACAAAGAGGACATGAAAACTGAGTTGGACCAATCAGAATCTGGGCAGGTGTAGGAATCCAATATTGGCCTTTGTTGAGTCTTGTTGTTGTCGTTGTTTCAACAGTGACATCTTCTTCTTTATCAGAGGAGATTCCTGAGATCAAATCATTAGAACTAGGACTGGGGAGGCCTAAATGGAGAGCAACAGTGACACTTTCATCATCCTCATCATCATTGGAAATGGAGAAGAAGCTTTTTTGATCAACTTCCATGGCAGTACTGCATGAGGACTGTTGTTGTTGTGGTTGTTGTTCTTCCTTGTGTGGATGTTTTGTGGGGCTCAATTTTAGGAGAGGGAGGGCTTCTTTGAGAGGAGGAGAAGGAGGCGATGAAGAAGAAGAAGAAGATTGATGATAGTTGATGGTATTTGAGTAGAAATTATTATAATAGCCAAAAGGGTTTATAGATAAATTATTAAAAGAAGGGTTGGAAGAAGAAGAAGAAGTGGAGGAAGAGAAATGGTGAAGCGGAGGATAATTAAACCATGATCCATTGAAGTAATTGGAGTACGGATCAGTCATGATTGAATCAACAAGATGAAGAAGAAGACGGAGAAGAAGAAGAAGAAGAATAGAAGGGTTGGGGAGATGAAGGGTAGGTTAAAAGAGAGAGAGAGCATAAAAAAGAAAAGGTGGAGGAGATTGAAGAAAATGATGATCGAATGAAAAGAAGAGTAAGAGAGAAGGAGGGGTTAAAGGGGAAAATAATGAAGGAGAATTGAAGAAGGGTCTGATAGAGAAAAAGCAAACCCCAATTGAGTAAAAAAGGAGAGACAAGATATCACTTGTGAGGTGTGACTAAACAATAGAGAAAATATGCTAAAGCAAAGGAAAGAAAGAGAGAGAGAAAACAAGAGAAAGTGGAAGAGATAGACGATAATATAATCTTGGGACTTGAAAGAACAAGTTACTTATTGAAGAGTGCGTGAAGAGGACTGATATACAAAATATAACACAACATAAAATTTATTATAAAACCCAACAAAATAAAAATTATAAATTATAAATTAATGTATTGGCCTACCAAAGAAACCAAANAGAGAAAGTGGAAGAGATAGACGATAATATAATCTTGGGACTTGAAAGAACAAGTTACTTATTGATGAGTGTGTGAAAAGGACTGATATACAAAATATAACACAACATAAAATTAATTATAAAACCCACAAAATAAAAATTATTAATTATAAATTATAAATTATAAATTAATGTAATGGCCTACCAAAGAAACCAAACCAAGAAGACAGTTTGAACTATGGGAGAAAACGAAATGCCAAAGACAAAGTCAGTAATTAGGGTTGGAGATTTGTCTCCTTCAATCAGTTCTTTATATATATACACTAAATATATTATACAATTTAACAGCACAAACTACATACAAAACTATATTACATCTAACATGAAACTTTATTGTTGGATTTATAAATAAATAAATAATCTTCTCTTCTTGTTTTTCATCTCTAATTGTTTCTCTCCATTGGGAAACAAGTAAGAGAGTTTCAATCAAACCCAGCAGGTGCTTTGGTGGGCGAGCCCTGGTCGGCTAGGCTCAGTACCATTTGAGACTATGTCCCAATTCAACCCAGCTCACTGTTTAAACTTACATTGACAGTAGAAACCATCACCATATCTTTCTCTCTCTCTCTCTCTCTCTCTCTCTCTCTCTCTGTACATATATTTTGTTTCTTAGCTATTTGACAACTTAGTTTCACTGTTGAAACTGCTGAGCTTCACATGGCTTCCATTCATTTATTCTGTAAATGTTGCACGGTGTTACAATGCAGAGATCTTACGTACGACTAAGAAGAAATTAAAAAAAAAAAAAAAATGCAAATGCATGAGAAAATGGAAAAAAGAAGTACGTTAGGATTAAGATTTTCTCTCGATCTAAACTTGAACTTCAGCTTTCCAAAGTTTATAACCTAGCGTTACTTATATATAAGAGTCTTGTGTTCGAATCGCAGGATAGGTTTCCCCCCTTAAAAAAAAAAGAGTTTGTGATCTAAACCATAAATAAATAAGAATACCTAGATGTCATAAGATTCTTTAAAATTTAAACGAGTTCCGATCAAGAAAGGATATTGATCGCGTCATAATAATTATATAGTATTTTTAATCATATTCAAAGAAAGAATGTGTTTGTAGTAGTTTAGAGATTTCATGCTTTTAGTTTAATGATGGGTCTTTTTGACTAACAATGTTTATTTAGGGATATTAATCTGAAAATTCGTAAAGATATAAATTATTTTATTTTGATGTGGGTCAATACTGCAACAAACTTTGATTTTATTTGTTAATTATTATTACACACATTAATTCTCTCTTATTCTATACAAAGTTGGAACTTTTGAAGGTCATTAGAGGATTAAGGTTATATTTTCTCTTGTATTTGAAAAAAATAATAATAGAATAATACTATACCAACAAACATGATATTAATTAATAAATTAATAAAAGTTGAAAACAAAAAAAAAAAAAAAAAACAGAAACAGAAACAATATTTTCAAATATGTAGCAACAGGCTGTGAATTTATACGAGTAGAATTAAGTTGAAGTACATAGGAAATCAAACAGGCATTGGCATGAAAAATAAATGAAATGAAAATTAATTTAAAATAATAATAATAATAAATGGGTGTTTTAATTTCAGGAGACAATTTGGAAGATTGGAAATCTTTATGAAATATATATGGTATTACCAAAAGAACTGTGATACCATAAAATTAGACTTTACTCTGCTTTATAAAGTTGATCACCTGCATTTGTTAGACACATTCAATGTAATTTATTAATCAAATTTCATCGAGTATATGGCTCTAAGCCAACAATTTGAATACAAAATATTATTTCGAGAAATTGTTTAATTGAGTATATAAGATACTATAGAAATATTGTGTATTATGTAACTACGGACGCGTGTTTGATTAATTTCACCGGATGACTATTCATATCTTTTATGAATAACGCTATAATACAAACTTTGTATATACAGTAATGTGACATAAAATGAATATAAGAAATATAGTAAACGATGTAAAACATTATATGTCTAAAACTATCCATCTTTTATTCTCTAACATTCATCATAATTGTTTTTTTTTTTTCTGTTTGTTATATAATTCAAGTATTTGATGTAATTTTAAGTATTTTATAATATTTATATTAATTCACTAAAAAATTGCCATCTAAATAAAAATTAATAGTAAATATTATATTCTCTTAGGTTGTGCTTGGTTTATGAAATGTTATCTTACTGAGAATGTTATATTAATATAAATATAGATTACCTTGAACATTACTGAGAATATTTAGGGAAATGTGTTTGATTGGTTAGAATAAATTGTTGGATATATTATATTAATATATTTTGGTTGAGAAGAATAAATTGGTGTGTATGTTATATAAATTACTAAATTGTCCTCCTTTTTAAATATTAATATAATATTATTTTTATTATTTTTTGGATAATTTTGGTTAACCCCCTGCATTTCAGATTTAGCTAAAACATCCCACAACAAAAAAATTTAAAACTTAACAAAAACACCCCCACCTACCCCAAGCCACTATCAACGACCAGCAACCATTGTTGGCAAAGGCAACAATGGGAATCTTGCCATGAAAAGCTCAGATATTTGGCCGTGAAATGATGACTGTTTCACAACCAAATATCTAGGCTTTTCACGACCACATCTTTGGCCATGAAACAGCTAGATTTGACTGTTTCCTGCCATGGATTGCAGATCCATTGTCAAAAATGGCCTTAGCGGTGCACGGCTAGTTGTACACCATTCCCTCATTGTTGACGGTGGTGGTCGGCGACTGGTAGTGGTGGCCAGATCCAGCCACCACCCTTGGGTAATTTTTTAAAATTCTAGGGGTATTTATGTCATAAAAATTTGTATATAAGAATAAAATAGTCCATTAGTATTTTTGTAATTGTTTTTAAAACATTGACATTATTGTCCTAAAATTTTATTAATAAAGGGTAAAATTATGATAAAAATAAGATTACCAAGTAATCTTAAAATACCTAAGAAAATGAAGGTAATCACATTATCTCTTATATTACCAGCAATAACTACTATTGATTTTGAAAGATTATCGGAATCTTATTTTACTTGAAAACCAAACATGGTAATAAAATAATATAAGATGGTATTACCTCAGTAATCCTCTATTACCTCCAACCAAACCCACCTTTATTGTATTCATTAATCATTTTTCAACTATTTTCTAGTACATAGTCCCTACCCAAGTTAAAGATATTAAAAATTATTATGGTGCCTGCCTTTTTTGATAAATTTATCAATAAATATTCCTCTGAAACTTTGTCCTTTCTTTGAACTTTCCCAACTGCCTTTATATAAGAATCTTGGGTGGACAAGAATTGCTCTGTTATCCATATACTTTCTCGATAAAATCTTATGTTATGGCTAGGTGGTTCTTTATTGTAAATATTATTAATTATGGAACCATTAATATAATTGATTATTAAAGACTGGTTGTATATGCATCCGTCGGCACATAATTTTTTTCACAAAAGAATAATCAAATAACCAAACTAATTGCTGCAGACAAGAGGCCATGAACTCAAAAGATATAACTTGAAATCATTCAAATGATAGAATGTTTTAAACTAGAAGACAGAAATCAAACTGGCAGCTGAGCTCCTCCAAATATCCAGTACCCAGTACTAAGGGTCTTTCATTTAACCTTAATTAATTAGATAATCGCTACTTCTGTAAACACCTTTGTATTGTACGTACTATTTCATTGAAAATCATTTATCATATATACACTGAAGAACCCAAGATTTTTGCCCATCCGCAACTCTGTCATTGTTTGCCAAACAACTAATAAAAACTTTTAAAAAATCACCAAACCTTAAGCAAATAAAATAATACAACATAAAAAACATGAAAGAAAAGAATGTAATAAAACAATACTTTCCTACTTGAATAAATTTATGAGAAGCAAAACATAGATAGTAACTCAAATTTCTTTAATAATTTTGAGCAGTTAAACGGTAATATTTGAAATATAGGAAAATAGTGGGTGAAAGTGAAGGGTGAAGAATAACGCCCAGTAAAATATAGTTAAAGTTAAATTTGGGAAAGTAGGAACATTCTTAGACACAAAACAAACTCACAAGATTTATGCCTTTTTTCCATCAAATTAGAATAAAAAACCTCCAAAAAACAAGCATTATTCAACCCTAAAATAAACTAAATTGAAATGAGCAAAACACATACCTAAAAGGCTAAAACTGATAAAACAGAAAACGGAGTTGATTGTGGCATCTTTAGTAGTGAAAGCTTTAATAATTTCAGTATTCAAAAGTTTTAAGAGCGAATAACATGAGAAAGAGAGAGTAAAAAATTTTGGGGATAAAATTATAAAAAACAGGTGGAGTCGTTGAAAAGAGTGAAGAGAGTTTTAAACTTTTAATATGATATGGGCCTGAAATATATATATTAATAACAAGTTTTTTGTGTGTTTAGATATATGAATAATAATTCTTATTTTTAAAAAAATCTAAGAGTCTGTCTGAATATATATATTAATAGCAATTTTTTATAGGCCTATATATTAACAATTTTTTCTTTAAAAATCTGAGGGCCTACCTTCAAAGGGTATGGGTCTGTCCCTACATATATACAATGTATATCAACACAAGTATACATGCCCTTTTTTTTAAATAATTATTATAATTAATTT